TACGGTGTCGAATAATTTGGTGTCGAATAAATCTGTGTCGAATCGAGCGGTGTCGAATCGTACTGTGGTCAAACGGAACACGCCCATTTTTATTTTCTTTTTATTTTTATTTTATGACTTATTTTGTTTTATTTTCATTTTTATGACTGCGTTTTTCGTTATTGTTTTATTTTATTCTTGACGTTTATGCTAATTTTATGCGGGCCCCCAAGTGTGAATGTCGCGAACTTCTTTATTGTATTTTACCCGAGTGTGAATGTCGCGTTTTACTTTTGTATTTTAATCGAGAGTGTGTGCCGCGTTTATTTAATTATTCTGTATTAATATTCTTTATTAGTATTCTTGCTTTTGCTGGTTGTTTATGCATGCCACAGAATAACGCCGGAAAAATTATTGATGTTGCAAACGCGCCGCTGCTCCCAGGCCCTTATATTTGATAATGGTACTGCATCCTGGCCTGGGAGCTTATACATATGTATAATCGCTATTACTGAGCGCATATTGTGAGTATCGCCCCAGCCGGTTAGTTGGGGCGATATTTTATCGCAATCACCCGAACCGTGATGAGGGGGTGCATCTTACCCCTCACTAGAAACGGTAAGTATGTGCCCCCTCTCACGGAGTTTTTTGCGCCTCCTAGCCGGGGGGGCCATGTCCCCGGCCTTATTTATTGTAATATTTTGCGCGCGAGCGTGGGCGGCAACTGCCGCCCTCACAATCTTTTGTAGTCCACCCCGGGGGAGCTTGTCCCCCCGAGGAACATTAATTGTTAAAATAAACTATAGTTACTCTGTTCTTATCAGCTTAATATCTGATACAGACCGCAAAGCGGTCTCAGAATATTAAACTGATTTTTGGAACTGGACGGACGCCCGGAGCTTGCTCCGGCTCCGTCGCGGGTCATCCCGGTCTTGCAGTGCCGCCGGGCTTGGCCCAGCATTAGTTAATTCAAAAACAGTTCCAAAAATCAGTTTAATAAAACTGTTTTAGAGCCAATGAGGCCTTACCGGGCCTAAAAAAGCGATTTTCGAAAATTCCAATTTTTCGAAAAAGTCATTTTCCGCGAGTGCGTTTTTTCTCGTGTTGTGCGACCACTCAGGAGGCCCGGGGGAGGTGTTTTGTGCATTGTCCAGAAGAGGACAGTTTATTTCTCGTAAAGTGAGTTTTGTTTTTAGTTTTCGGCTCCAGGATTAGGCTGCTCGGTCTCTTCGAGGAAAAGTGATTTTCCGGGTAGGCGTGGTGAGACACCTGGCAGGTTAATTGTTGCGTGTGCGCGTTTTTATTTTTATATTATTGTACTTATTTATTTATTTATTTATTAACTAGTGCGCGTCCGAGTATTATTTATTTTATTTTTATATTTTTTTATTTTTATTCGTGTGTGTCGCCTGCCAGGTGTTTATCTGTGTGTCTCCAATTGTGCTGCGTCATCCTCTGTGTCAACAGGAGTTTTGTCCGTTACGTGTACGGACAAAACTTTAAAGAAATAAAAATACTTATTGTTACACATGGCTTCCTTTATTTCCTTCTTTTTATATATAGGTTTTGGTGCTGCTGCTGCGGGAGAGTGGGTGGAAATATATTTTATTACTTTTATTTCTTTGACATATTTTAGTTTATTCTTTGATACATTGCTCTGCACATTATTATTCAGTTTACCCGTATGCAGAGCAGTTCTACGGTCGGAGAGATAACATTTTATATATTTTATACGTTTTATTTTTACTTCAACCACCCACCTCCTGATACTATTGTTATTAACAACACATATTTGCAGCCATTTTGAACCGCAGCACCCTGACAGCTTAGGTTAGGTGTAGCTGTAAAACTCCTGTCCTGTGCAGTACTCCATCCACTCGCCTATCTCTGAAACATCATTTTACAGGGAATTATTGCACAGTGCCTGCAATAGGTGCCTGCCAAATTTATTAATAAATTGTTCCTTACTTTCATATTTGTTCATTTACACGCTTCTGCTGACAGTCACCAGGCCGCATAACCTGCAAAACAAAGGGGGAGCATTATTGTTAATTATAGCAGTATAAATAATGAAAAGAGAGATAAATTACGGCAAGTTGGGATCGCGCGCTCCCCCCGATCCCAACAATATATAAATTAAAACAATAAAACTAAAATTTACCCTAAAAATTAATTAAAAAATTGCGGCTGGTGACACTTGTGCGCAGAGGCGTATCTGGCAAACACCTCGGAATTTTAGGTCGTTGCGTACATTCTACGCGTGCATCCTCGTCGTATCCGCACGCACCTGTCAAATATTTTATTATTTTATTATTTTAGTTTATTATATTTTTGTTTTGTTCTACCTGTGTTGTTATCGGTTAATTCCGTGTGACAGGTGCGTTGTCGTCGCCTACTGAGGCGACGCAGAGCGGAACAACCCCGAAACTTACCTTAAGGCGAATCCGCATAGGCACTGTGCCAAGCGTTCAAAAACTCTCTCTAGAAGCCGAGCATAGGAAAATCGTGATAGAGATTCCGCTTTCCGCGCGCGTCGTTTGTCCTCGCTGCCACGGCAACGACCAATTACGTCCGTCCGTGCGCGCGGGAACATTCGCGGACACGCCTCACCTCTCCAAACACCTGAAAAAAGACCACCCGGGGGATACAATAGAATATAAATGTGGATGCTGCAGGTACAGGAGGAAGACGAGGTACCCGCAGAAGGATGTCAAGCTTCACATTGAAAAATTGCACCCCCAACCTCCGGTTGATGCGGAGGCGGGCTCGAGTAGATTAGCAAGCAAACCTGGAGCCGCGCCATCTTCCGCGTCGTCAGCGTCCCCGACCACTAATAGAAATCCTCCCGCAAAACGTAATACCTCCGTTAACCCGCGGCAACCCGGCGCACGCGCCACCACCACCGCCATCAAAAGGGCCGGCCCAGCTTCAAGGACACAACCCAGCAAGCCCTCTCCAACATCAACACCACCTACGACATCGTCTCTGACGTAAGAGTGTCGGTGCCTCCCGCTCTGCTTCAGCAATATGTGCCGAGGACGTCGCTACCCGCGACCGTCACCACCACCACGGTGACAACAACGACGTGTGGGAGCCCCATTATGGCAACAGGTCTCTCACTGGGGGGGCGCAGGACACCGAGTCCCCTCTTGCCAGCGAGACGTCAGTCACCGCCGGTGGTGCAACAAACAGTCTGGTCGCCCGCACCCTACAGCGAGGGATTCTCCCTTGTAATGGGAAAGGGTGCGTGGGGCCAGACAAAAAAAAGGAAGACTCCACCCCACGAACACCCCGGGGTGGAGCAGCACCAACGGCAGCAGCAGCAGCAACAACATCGAAGGTCGACGCCACCAGCGAGAGATTGTGGGGAACCAGAGGTCCAAACCGGTGGTGGATAGACCGTGAGTCGCGGGAAAAAAGCGGAAAGAAGACACTTCGCCACACCCCCCGTGGACATTTCCCCAATTTTAGCTCCGGCAAAGTCTGGGTCGCGGGCGACGCGTACCCCGCCACCCGTAACGTCGGCGAACTTTCCCCCCCTTCCGTTGCCCGGGGGGGATTGGGACAATAGTCCCCCATTAGTGGAGGATCGGAGCGAGCCAGCCGAGAGCCCCGAGCGCCGGAACGCTGAACCATGTAAGCGTGCCCGCCGCCGGGGGCGTTCTCCCGTAAATACAAATCCCACGACCATAGGGCGTGTCGAGCGGGATACAACGAGATCGCCCCGCAGCGGTGCGTCCGCCGATGCGCAGAGTCCGCGGGGTCCCGTCAACAATGCGCCACCCCAGTCGTGTCCGCAGCGACCCGCGCCGCGTCCCGTTCCCGCTGAGAGGCGGGGCGGGCGCGCGCGTCTAGTCGAAAGAGACGCGCTGGTTGGGCGTGCGGCGGGCGGTGCTTCGGTTGCGGACCTGGAGGACTTCGCGGCGCACGTCGCGAACTACTTCGGGAAGGATGCAACGGACGCTGGGCATCGACGCGGCGTACCCGCAAATCGTCCAGTGCTTGCGGAGTTGGAACGACCGCGTCGAGGAGCTGGACATGCGCCTGGTGAGCGAGACGGCGCCAATAGGGAAGGAAATCGCCAGGGAACTCTGGGAAAAAGACGCGCGAACTGGGTGCGCAAAGCGGCGCGCATACAGGCGCTATACAGGGGCAACCGCCGCAAGGCGTTTCGGGAAGTGCTCCATGGACCCCCTGAATTCTGCAAAGTGCAGAAGGAGCGGGACCATCAATACTTAACCGAATTATACCGCGGCGGCTTGCCGCTGGATGGCGCCGACGCCGTGGAACCAGCCCAGCCTCTGACGGATGGTGAGTTGTCGTTCCTCACGGATCCCTTCACGGAGCGAAAGGTCAAACGTCGCATCCGGCGAGTAAATAACTCTGCGCCGGGGCCCGACGGGCTGACCTACAAGGACCTCCGTGAAGCTGATCCTGGTTCACGTCTTCTCATGGCGTTGTTTACCATCTGTTTGCGCCTAGAGGTTGTTCCGTCGTTCTGGAAGAACTCCAATACCGTGTTGGTATACAAAAAAGGCGACCAAAATGATCTGGATAATTGGCGCCCTCTCGCTATGGGCGATACTACGCCCAAGCTCTTTGCCGCGGTCGTAGCCGATCGTCTGACGGACTGGGCGATATTTCATAATAAGCTTAGCCCAGTACAGAAGGGTTTCCTGCGGGACAAAAGGTGCTACAAGCACAACTTTGTCCTGCAGGAGATCCTGACAGACGCGAGACAATCTCTGAAAGAATTGGTCGTGGCGTGGCTGGATCTATCCAATGCGTTTGGATCGGTCCCGCACGCAACGATCAGGGGAGCTTTAGCTCGGTCCGGTGTGCCTGCGTCTCTCACAAACTTGTGGGGGTCCATGTACGCAGGATGCACAACATGTGTGCGCACGTCCGACGGGTGGACGGCACCAATCCCCATCCGCTCTGGAGTTAAACAGGGATGCCCCTTAAGCCCCATTGTGTTCGATTTTGCGATTGATTCCGTGCTGCGCGCGGCCACCGCAGAAAACGCGGAGTACTCCATCTTAGGGAGCGGTGGTCCGCACTAGCGTACGCGGATGATATCGCACTAGTAGCCGAATCTCCAGAGGGGATGCGACGACTTCTTACCGTCGTGGAAACCGAAGCGCGGTCGGTAGGCCTGCGATTCAACCCCGCAAAGTGTGCAAGTTTGCACATCCAAGCGGGGAGATTGGATCGCGTCCTCCCGACCCGCTTCGAGATCCAGGGAAAGATGATGCAATGCCTGGCAGAAAGAGAAGGATATAGGCACCTCGGCATTCCGACGGGGTTTTTTGTTGATCAGAACCCCTATTCTACGATCCAGGGCATGATGGAGGACTTGCAGCGCGTCGAGCGCTCCTTGCTAGTTCCGTGGCAGCAAGTCGAGATGGTGGCTACTTACATCCTGCCACGTCTCGACTTCTTGTTGCGGAGTGCCAAAGTGGAGAAGGGCTTCGTAAAGGTCGCGGACAAGCAGATGAAGAGGCTGGCCAAGTCGTGGCTTAACCTCCCTCAGCGCGCCAGCGCAGAGGTAGTCTACCTCCCTCCTAACAAAGGGGGATGTGGCTTGCTTTTGCTCGCTGACCTCGCCGACGTCCTGACGATAGCGCACGTCTTCCGTGTTCTCACGGCTGGCGACGCTGGAGTCAAAGACCTGGCGTGGTCGTCGCTGAGGGGAATGGTTAAGCGGCAAATTGGTTCAGTACCAACGGAGCAGGACATCGCTTCGTTTCTCTCGGGCTCGCTCGAGAGAAAGTTCCGCGACGGTGGAGAGCGCTCCCTTTGGTCGGATGCGCGAAACGCGTGTAGACGGCAGTCCTCCAGACTGCGGATCCGCTGGATGTGGGCAGAAGAGACGCGGGAGCTTCTTCTGGAGTGTCGGGGCACGGGGGGTAATCTGGTGAACATCCCACCAGAAGCGCGGGCGCAGGTCATCCATGCACTACGCCTGGCTATTGCGTCGTATTATACGAGCACACTGCTCGCCAAAAAGGATCAGGGGTAGGTGTTCGAGGTGGCCATGCGTCATGGAGTGAGCAATCACTTCATGCGCACTGGCAGCTTCACCCGCTTCGCCGACTGGCGCTTCTTGCACCGAGCCCGACTCGACGTGTTGCCGCTCAACGGCGCACGTCGGTGGG